AAAATTAATTTATTGAAAGAATGTATTATTTAAAATAAATTTGAGGAAAATTGAATTTGCAGAGAACGAAGCTCAAACCGGGCAATATCTGATAGTCAAATTCAGGCTAATTGTGAAGTCACTAATTATACAAAGTAATTTAATATTAGTGACTAAATATGTCATAAGAATACTTTAGTGCAGTAACTAACCATTCTAACAATATGTACTAACGTTTGCAGTAACAACTTATAGCCCCTATCTACTTTTTCGAGATCATAAGTTAGTCAAACTTCAAATTTCACTTTAAATACAAATTTTATTTACTTTTTAATCACATATTTTATAAAATTAATGAGTTTATAATCTCAGAAAGCTTGGTCAGTTGGGGGCATAGTAACAAGTGTAACTTGAAAATTTTTTGAAATTATTTTTACTACAAATAAAAAGTTAGAATAAAAGCTACAATAATTTGTAAAATTCGGAAAAATGTCTGCAATTATTCCTTTATGTTTTGTTGGGTGATTCGCTAACAAATACGGCTTCTCTTTAAAAAGCATTGTTCACAATAGGGTTATAGAAAATGTATGCTGGGTTTTGATACCCAATAAATTTCAGGTGATGATGTAAATGTTAGAATATAATTTTACAAGTCTCGATCAGTGGTGAATTAATTATCAACAACCAAATTCGAAGGCTCGACCTGAAAACAATTTGGACACGTTAGAAGTAACTTAAGAAAATAATGATGCTCACAACCCATATATATTTACATATTGAATGACTTTTAGTCTTGGCCCATTTATCCGTTATTTGGCCCAAATTAATAACCTAATGTTAGACTATATATATGGGAAAAATTCATTTATAAGATGTTAAGTATGTGTCATTTAAAAATAAGTAAACAAGTTTCAAATTTCAAAAATCGGAATTTTTTTTTTAATTTATGAAATAATAAATTATTAAAATTTATTAAATATTTAATTCTACTATAATATAATTAAAACCCCCCACCTCCACTACCCCTACTGCTCTGGGGACTACTCCGACGATCTTTTCGGCCACCGGTCTTCTCCAACGAATTTTTTGGCAACCGTTCCAATGAATTTTTCAGCGACTGCTCCGATTCCGGCAAATATTCCGGCGACACTTCCGATGACCGTTCCGCCGCAGCTTTGTTCTGACAACTACTCTGATTTCGATAATTTTTCCAACTCCGGCAACAACTCCGATTTAATTAATTAATTATATAAGTCACAGATTAATAAAATATGGTCACAGATTCGCAATTTTGTTAGTCACATATTTTTTTCAATCACAAATTATTTTAATGTCACAGTTCAAAAATTTTATACGTCACAATTTTTTATCCGTCACAATTTTTTATCGGTCACAG